TCAAAATACTGAAACTTGGTATGCTTTCTTCTACCATGATAGAACACAATAAACTGTAAATACTGTTAAGGCCAATTTTAAAGTGTTGAATTGAGAAGGCTAACAGAACATTGATTTGGTAAGTACTATCACACTTTTGGGACGTTCAACATTAACGATTCTAATGAGGGGAGAGGAAAGAAAATAGAAACACAGCTTTATTATATTTACTATACTCGTTTTTGTTTATATTTAGAAACAACTGCACTGGATTCTATGAACTTTACTGGCAATTCTGTTACTCCTGATAGAAAGGTAACAAAAGGAGTGTTGATGCACTGTTGTTTTTCAACTGGTACAACTTTTATCAGTCCCAAAAGAGATGATCATACATTCTGTACAACAAAGGGAGATTTAAACATCAACTTTTCTTTTTTTAAATGGTTGAACTGAGGTTGGAACTCAGGGCTTTATGTTTGCAACGCAGACATTCTATTGCTTGAGCCACACCTCAAAAAACCAGAGCATTTTTTGCTCTGGTTATTTTGTAGATAGGGTCTGAAGACCATTTTCCCAGGCTGGCCTCAAACTTTGATCCTCCTGATCTCAGGCCTCCCAAGTAGCTAGGACTAACTGGTGCCCGGCATGAACATCAACTATGCTGCCAGAAGGAGTCATGTGTCAGAATCTTCTTGTAGCCTGAAACCTCAATGTTTTTCTGCCAGAAATAGAATTACGTGTACCTCACTCTACTTTCAATATTTAGATTGAATTCAGTACTGTTTTCATAATACCTATATGCAGTTATGGAATTTGACATACTTACCCACTTTTCTCTATCTTTACAGGTAGTATGTGTTAATATTTATACCCACTCTAATCTAAGGTCAGTGTCGGGGTTTTCTTACCATACAAGGTAAATTTTGAAAATTATATAAAATATCCTAATAATGACACAGACAACTCATTCCCTGAGTCATTTTATAAAGACAGCTTATGCTTCCTGGGCACTTAGTACATGTTAGGCAATGTTTGGAGTACTTTCTGTGGTTTGTTTTGTTTGTGCCTCACAAAGTCCTCCTGATAATGGCAATACTATTTTTCTCCCCATTTTACAAAAAAAAGAGGGGGACAGAACTTAGGCACAGAAAGACTAACTTTCCCACAACTACAGAGTTAAGGAGTGGTTGAAGTTGAATTATATCCCAGGCAGTTTGGCTAGGGAGCTAAGAAGTATACCACCCTACCTCTTGCTACCTAATACTGAGTTATTTTTGTATTTTCTAAAGGTAAAGCAATAAAATATGTTATACTGTCCATAACATGGTAAGAACTCAATAAATAGTAGTCCTTGTATTAATAATTAGAATAATGCCCAGTCTAGTACTGGTGTATAGGAATGGCATCTTCTATCGACATACTAGTCCAATATTTTCTACTTATATATATTTTCCTCCCCATTCTTTTATCAGTGTTATTTTATCATTTTTATGTATGAAAAGTAGCATCCTAGCTTCTCCCACTCTTTCTGATATTTTAGTTTTTCATAACAAGTCCTATTTTATTGTGTAAATAATCTTTACTGTTTTCCATAATTACCTAAGGTAAGCAGTTACAAGTAACCAGGTTGAAACAGATCACTGGACATTCCTCCCATTCTGTAAACATGAACTGCCCTATTAGTGACAGGGCACTTTAGATCCAAGAATGTTTACAGGCACTTCAGCCTGCAAGCCACTTAGTTAAGGAAACAGGTGGGTGATGTCATTCGGGCAGCACACAGTCTGCTCTACGGATTTGGGACAGAAAGTTTCTCAAGTTTTCCACCACCTGAACTCACAAATGCCCCTTCTGCCAGGCAACAGTTCTAGAACTGAATTAGGCATGATAATGAATTTTCTCCAGGTCATTTAAGAACAACAATCAAAAAAATCTTTTGCAGAGTATGAAAAATATGTCAGCAAATAAAGAATTATAAAGGGAGCATGAGGTCAAACACCAATTGGGGGAAAAAAATTGGTTTTGTAATTCAGGCTTCCAAAGGAAAAGTTTGTTGGGAGGATTGAATCACTACGAAGAGGCAGAATCTGGGAGGTCCAGCATGCAGGGGCTGGAGGCTTGGGATGTTACAGGATGCATGGATCTGTGACACAAAGTCCAGGGTTATGCTGAGGTTGCTTATTTTGAGCAAAGAAGAGGAATCAATGACCCCAAGGGTTTGGGACTTATTAGAGCCATTATTGTGGAATAGATAATTCTGTTGAACATCTGCAGCCCTAAGAGTGTGCAATTCAATATTCAGTTAATTGTATAAAAATGCAGATGCTATGAAACATAGCCATGTATGTATCATATAGCAGCCACATGTCATATGAAAGTTAAAGAAGCTTTTTTCCCCTAAAAATCTCCCTCCAACAGATGTGCTTATGCCTATGCATATAATACAGTAGGGGCTGTGTGCTGAATTTCTTCAGCGTTATATCTTCCTCAACAGTCGTGAAGCAATGCTATAATATTCAAAGGGACGTTTGGCTAGTGCATATGCTCCACCAAGGACATACTTTTAAGGAAGGGGTGAAAATTGGGATTGAAAGTGTCACTAAGACAAGAATGACTCAAGAGATGGCTGTCCTCTTAAGTCCTAATTTAGGTTGACATGGCAGGTGTAAACCCTGCATTTAAGGCATTTAGATATCATTACTTTGAAAATGCCAGAGACCTACACAGTGCAAAAAGGATCAAGGAAAAAAAAAATGAGGGTTTGTCTCATAAACCATTGTGGTGAACAGGTATTTATTAACAGAGGATAGGTAAAATGCATATAACATTATAAGGAAAATGACAAAGAAGGAGAGAAACACTGACTCCAAACCAGGAGTATTTAACAGTGTGCTTATATATAAAGTAGATCTCAAGGTGTCTATTCTTTTCAAATCAAATGAAGAATAAATATTCTTATCTGGTTTAACAAATGCAAGGAGCCCTAGAGGGGATAAAAAGTCCCTTCCCCAAAAAGATTATTGAATGATGGGAAAGAGACACAAATATACAAAAACTAGCCTAGAGGCAACTTAATCTCAATTTTTTTCTGGGATGACAATTGAAAGATCACTTAAAGACACTAATGTGTCTGGTTTAGAAAGAATGATAGCTGCGGGACTGGAAGGTAGAACAAGAGTCACCAAAAAAGCTGTAGAATTCAGTGCCAACAGAGAACGTTAGGTAGTCACAGACAGCTGCCTACCTAGTAGACAGGAACTGCAGAGTATAGACGTGCCAGCTCATCCCTAATCCCTCCTCCACAGAACCACAGCCTTGTCTGAATTGTCTGCATATTGGTACTGTTGCTGCAAACCCTTTCTACGATGCAGACCTGTTACTGAAAGGGATGCTATCTCAGACCACTGCCCCACCTTAATTTATTAGACCATCAAAGAGGATCACAGAAACTTCTGAAGACAATGGATGGACAGACAGAAAACCATCACAAATAGTGATAAGGAACTCAAAAATAACTCTTTACTACTTGATAGCGTGGGTTAGGTCTAGGTTTCTAACTAACTATAATTATCTTAGAAAGGACAGTAGAGAGAGTCATTTAGGGAGGCTGCTAAATCACGCTCCCCCGTTTAGTACTTTGTTGAATAAAACACAATGCTGCACCTGCAAAATGCAGGGTAAAAAAAAAAAGAAAATTTCCATCCAGCCTCCTGAGGGCCAATGTGTGGCAATTAAGGTAGATTTGGTCTGGTCAGCAGTATCTTCTCTTAGAAGCATGCATATGACTGGTCAGGGGCTGAACAGTTACTCTCTGCTCAATTTGTTTTGCTCTAAACCCTGCTTAAGGTCTGAACCCAGGTTCTGAAATGCTATCAGTGATTCCAATAAGAGTACTAAACAAATCTGGTTTGTTTTCTTCCTGGAAGGAACAAATACTTCTGTTTATCGTGTTTGGCCACAGTATTACCAAGTGCCGTTGAATTAATTCCTCAGAAGTGCTTCATAAAATGTGTGTTGGGAGTATGCTATAAGAGACTCAGGCATCCGGATCAAGTAACAAGTGGGGATTGCAGAAACAGAGGAGAAAGTCCTCATCTACACCCCCCTCCACTCCCTTTAAAGTATCTGCTTCACCTAATCGCTCATATTCCAGATGCCTCCTCTGCCCCAAGCAATGTCTAAAGCATCAGCCCTTCTTAGGGATATCTAAGACAACGCTGTCATTCGTGTTGTGTTCTGATGATCAAAAAAAAATGACATTTCCAGAAAGCCTCAAGTGCCATTTCATTCTATACATAACTGATAAGCACCAGGATTCAAAAATACAGGTAAATTTTTCCTTTCTGATATCTCCTGGGAATGTAAACCAACCACACTTATGGAGGAGGAGGTCCTGAAAAAGAGCGCTGCTAAGCCAAAAGTTTGTAGAACTTAGCTGGAGCAGACCTGATTCCTGGCACTGGGCTGATTTGATTTGCTTCGCTGACCATTAGGAATCCCTGTCCGCAGCTCGGACTTCAGATAGCAGAGCTGAATGAGGGTGAACGGAGGTACACACCGCGACCCTGTATGGCTTCGCATCCACCCCAAACACTGACGCTCCACTGCCCATGCCGCTCTTTCTCGACCACCCTCTCAGCAGCCAGGGAACCAGGCTGTGGCTCTCGGTGGCGTGTCCCCGCTTTTCCTCACTAGAGGGCAGCCGGGACCCGCACAAAGCCCTCGGGCTCCAGGGCACGCGCGTACCAGCCTGGTCTCCTGAACCCCGGCTCCCACTCCTGGGCTGGGCTCTGAGGCTGAGGCGCTGGTTTAGGGCCATGCCAGGGTTTGGACCCTTGGGACTGGTCGCCCTCACCCTGCGCGCAGGTGAAGGGCCGTCCCTCGCCGGGGAGACCGCCCGGCTCCACGAACACCCGGGGCAGGCAAAGCAAGCGCCGGGAGCGCAGGGCGCGGGGGCACAGGAGAGGGCAAGGCGACAGCACTGGAGCTGGAGGACCACGGAACCCGCGCTGCGCACTCACCTGGGCTCTGGTCGCCCTCAGCTGGTGCGGGCTTCTTGCCGGAGCCTCGATCCTTCTTCTTGCCCTTCCCCTTGCCTCTGCCTTCTTTGCGCTCGGACATCTCCGCGGAGAAGTGAGCGCTCTGCGCGGACGGCTCCTGGGGACGGCGACACGCGACAAGTTTGGTCCAAAGGCTGGGGTCGACTTTGGGAAAAGTTTGTCCCTCGAATGGAGAGCGAGCTGCCGGACTGCTGGGGTCGTGCGGCACAGGGGCGTCTCCTGGGGGTCGGCGGAGAGCAGTGCGGGCGCGGCGTGCGGTCCCGGCCACCTGGAACCAGCTATCGCTCCGTCCCGCGGTCGCCCTAGCTCTCGGGGCTGTACCGGTCGCTCTGGGTCCCGCCGCTGCCGACTCCTGTCGTGGCCTCTGTTCGGCACCCTCGCAGATCAAGAAGAGGCGATTACTGTCCCATCGCCCGGCAGCCGCCGCTCCTGCCTTCTGCGCGAGCTGGAGTTCCGACAAGTTTTGGGGAACTCCTCGCCGGCTCTTTTTCAATTGCCCCGCAGCCACCCACCTCCCGCCCGCAGGTTGCAAGCTGGCGCCTCCTTCTCACCCTCCCCTGGCCTCGCCCCCTCCCGTTTCCCCACCACACCCCCACCCCGAGGCGCGGACACGCCACCGGGAGGAGCCAGAGCTCGGCACTCGCGGTGCAGCCCCTTTCCTCCCCGCGCCGGGCCAGGCGGGGGGTGGCGGCGCCTGGTGGATGCCGGGAACCCCCGACAGGGGTCGCTGGAAGCCGCGCGCAACCGAACCGAGCGGCGCTCCACATTCAAGGAGGGACCCAGGCGCTCGCGATCCTTTCTCTCCCCCGCAGGCAGCGCCTGCAGCACGGGGCTGGTCCAGCCCCCTCAAAGTGGACAGAGATGGTGGACGCAAAAGTTTGCAGCTCTGGCACCTTCCCCTCCGGTCCGCCCTCCCAGATGAAGGCTCTGGATCTCTAGAGCCCTGGGGGAGGGGGGTGGTGTTTGTTATTTTCCCAGAAGAGTTCAGAGTTCATTGCTTTCTCACTGTCGTGAAGCCCCCCATCCCCCCTCACACGGAGGGCAAAGGTAAACGCTAGGGGGAAGGGAGTGTAAGGTAAAACAGTTCTAGATCCACAGGAAGGGCTCCTTGAACATCAAGGATGATCTCCTGCACTGTCTTTGTAGATTTGCGCCTTGAGTATGTAGCTTCTGCCTTCGTGTGCGTGATGACACGCTGTTAGAATTCTCATCTCCAGGTTTTCTTAAAAACTAACGTGGTCCCCTCTAAGGGGGTGTCTGGCCACCTGATCTTCTCCTACAATTTAGTTTTCCAAGGAACTGATAAAGCCACGATTCAAGATCGACAATAACTAGCATTGTTGCGAAAACCGAGTCAGCTCCGCGGAGAGGGAGAGCAAGTCCGGAGAGGTAGAAAGGAGGGACAATCCTGGGGATTCCAAGTTCTCTAGTGCTGGTTTTCCCAGATTCAAACTTTCTTTAGAACTTCATGCAAAGCCTACTCCTTTCCTTGTCCTCCCTCTGGTGGAGAATTCTAAAGAGCAGAGAAATCAAAAGAACATTGGTTTTCTCCTGCAAGAACAAAAGTCAAAGGCCAGAGAGATTGACGGAATGATTCAGAATCGTCCCCATGTAAAGAAAACACTGTCATCATTACAGCACAGCTGTGACCACTTTGGACTGCTCATTTGCAGTGACATACCTTTGCGTTGTGTTCAGGAAGTGGTACGCGTGAACAATCTATGTTCAACATCCACTATTCCATTTCAAAGTGACTCACCCATGGCTTTCCCATTTTCTGGGGTTAATGCTACTGAATCCTTGCTTACACCTTTAGCCTTCTAGCTAAAGATGAAATCCGAAGTGCCTCCTTGATATGTAGGTGGGAAGGGAAGGGAGCAAAACATTTTATTCTAGTTTGATCTGCATTGGAATAAGTTGGTTAGATTTAATTGTTGAAAGATACCACAATAGGAGGTGTGGCTCAAGTGGTAGAGTTCCTAGCTTTGCAAGAGGAAGCTCTTGAGTTCAAACCCCAGTCTCATCAAGATACCCCAACGTTACCATCGTCTTTTATTTTTAAAATGTTTCATGTCCAAATGATTTCTGATAGCCTTCCAACAAATACGAAATACAAATTTCATTGTGCCATAGAAACAGCAGAACAAGAGAAAAGACTAGGAAAATGTTAATGGCACTGTAATAGTCCACAGAGTGGATTATAAAATGGAGTCTGAAACTTGGCTGAAATAGCTCTGCCTTCCCAGGAGGGGCCACTGCTCAGCAAGCAAGGGACAGCAAAATTCAGAAAATAGAAGTCTTTTCAAGAAGGATACTTTACCTCAGGGATGTGAGCCAGTGTAAGGTCATAAGAGGCACTAGTCACTGTTATCCAACTTCATTATTTTAGATGTAAAGCAAGAATGTGTTTCAGAAATTTAAAAACAAAATTAAAGATATTCCCCAAGAAAATAGTAAGCCAGTAGTGAAACTCATGCCTAAGGAAATACAATGCTTTTGTTTGGGGTCTAGATATTTTAACTCACGAAACAGCTTATTAATTAATAGTAATTTTTCTCGAGGTTAATAGAAAAGTCTACAATTTTGTAGTGATTTTCGATTTCAATGAATTGATGGAGGTAGTGACAATCTTCCAAAACTAAACAATACAATAGCTTTAAAATAAAACATGACAGCACCATTCCTATGGAACTGTCAGGACTGGAGGATGAATGTGTATAAATGAAGGTGAGTATAAATTAGCATTTAATAATTATTACTTCTTGGTTTGATGTGAGAGAGAGGGAAAAAAAGAGGACAGAAATTACAGTAAGTGTCAAAGAAACCTTTAAAGGAAGATAATGGGGTGGCAGCTGAGTGACAAGCCTGCTTCCTGGAACCATGTTTAGACTTCAAAATCATATTTATATGTCAATTTAGCTGAATTATCAGGAAATTTATGGCAAGGTTCCAAATTTTTTTCTGCCAATATATTATTTAAATGTCTTTATTTTTTATGTTATTTCATGTTAATTTCTCAGGGGTTTATTTTATCACATTATTTACAACCAGCTGAAAGATTAACCAAATAAAAGCCAATTTATTTGATAGTTAAAACAGTTACTGAGCATTTAAACTTGTCCTTAAATTTATCTATGTCTTTACCATTTTTTAAAAAGCCTTGGATGTAACTGAAATAAAGGACAGAGAAAGGAAGAATACCTTTCTCTTGAAAAACAATATAAAACGTGAATCTTAATTGTATAATTTGGAAATGATGATCCTATGGTTTAATTTTATTAATTTGTTGTGTATTGTTCGGCTCTTAGAGAATGTATCTTATGGAGCCTATGAGCTCCCAGGTTACATGCCAACCTGTCAACATCTGTCAACTGAAAAAAAAAAAAAGACTGGAAAATTATAAACAAGCACCTTGAGAAACACAGACAAAATGTAGATCTCACATAAAATGACAGCTGAAAAGAAGTGCAATCAGGTACCATTACATTTCTCTTTGGCTAGACTTAACTTTTAGAATCACTCTTAAAATCTACAAAGCTGGTTGAATGTACTCTTTCAGTAATTCCCTTTTGGGAACCACTCCAAGAAAATTTAAAAAACAGGAAAAAATTAAATTAAAAAAAGACTAACGTGAAGATAGATTGCATTATTGAAAAATGCTGGGCATTATTGACAGTAATCATGGGAATTTAATTTAGAATTCTGAATATACTTTTAAGATAAAGTAACTTAGGATAATTTAAACAAAGATTACTTTTTAAAAACTTTGTGACAAAGTTGACATTAATGAAGATGTATGGACGCAATGAAAACCTCACTCACCAGCAGCAACTTCAAAACCGTGTGATTCGTTCATTCATTCACCACACATTTACCAAACTACATGCTGGACAGTGGAGAAACAGAAATAAAATACTGCCCCTGTTCTCATGACACTAAAAAATTGTGAGAAAGACACTAAAACAAATTAATTACCCAGTACAATATGAGAAGCAAGACTAGATAAATTTTCTAGAGCCCGAAGCTGATAAAATTTGGAGAAACTTATAAAAGAAAAGACCACAAAATTAAGAATAAACCTTTGGGCTGGGGATGTAGCTCAGTAGTAGAGTATATGCTTAGCGTTTGGGAGGTCCTGGGTTCAATCCCCAACATCCAAAACAGAAACAAATAAGCAAAAATTTGAACACAAGAACATGAAAGGGGACTTTACAACTAGGAGGCCTTCATGGTAAATTCATCTCTACTGATTTCAAGCATATTCTATCTTCTGCATGGTACTTATAATGGCAATATATGACAATTATATACTATCTTGGAGATTAGATAATACTCTCACATCCTATCACTATAAATAGGAGACATTAACAAGAAAACAAATGAAATACACACAAAACTGAATGGAGCAAGGAGATCCTATGAGGGGGAAAATGAGATAAAAGGAGGTTTAATAGTTCTGTATGTTTAATTAGAGTCTTGGAATCAGCATGCATGGTGAGTTTGTAAACAAACTGCTTCTGACTAGCAAGACACCCTGGCAAAGCTAGAAATGGTATCGTCTATTACATTTAGCAAATACTTAATAGAATTCCTAATTGAGCCTATTCTGTCTGCTGTGAATTACAAAACTGCGAGTAAAGAATGCAAAGGAAAACGCTAAAAGGAATGTTTATGCTTTTCTCCTTGTGTGATTTAAAAGATTACTGCATGCTTGATGATTGCTATGGTTATCATATTACATTATTTATCATTATAATTAATAAGATTACTCATGATTTCACTTTCATGACTGGTATCACAGATTAAACATAGATGATACAGCCGAATACTAGTGCTTACATTCTTTTTCTCTTTTCTTTCTTTTTTTTGCTAAATCAAGGTAGATATGTAAGACAATAATTTTTCAAGGCTTTAGTGTCTTTTAAGAACACCAACCTACCCATCTTTTCAGTTATTCTTTCTGACCTCTACACTAATTATTTATCTTTATCCTCCTTAGTCCCCTTGCTACACATCTCAATTCAGATCTGTACGCAATGCAAATGTCTCAAATTTACATATACATACATAGTTATATACACAAATACATATACATATATAGATATTCATGTGTGTATACATGTTTGTTACGTAGTTATATAGTTACTTTTTTCATTCTGTTGGAAATGAGAAATTTGTATTTGAATGTGATCATATAAAAGCTAGAGATTATGCATCTTTTTATCCACTTTTTCATATTGCTCTCCACCACAATTCCTGTCACCATATTTTGCATCTGATAAACACTAAATACTTTTGGATAGAATGAATTTAAATAGAATGGAATGACTATAAAAAGCCCAGTTCTGGATATTACCATTTTCTACCCATCAACTACTAATTATCTGCTCTGACAATCACTTTGACATTTCTTTTCTACAGTCAACCCATCTCCCAGTCTTGTCATTTTGACTCCAGTATCCTTTGATCCCTCATCAGTACGTACCACCCCAATCCAACCCTTCATCCTTTTTGTGCTTTGTAGCAAAGCTTTGTACCTGGACCATCACTTCTTCCAATTATTTTGTCACATACAACCGTCACAGAGCAGTCTTTTTGAAATGCAAATTGAATCTAGTCACTCTGCTTCCCAGAATTCTAGCCAGTGCCCTTGCAAGGTGCTTCAGGCACCCCAGCCTCACTGCTACACAAACCCTAAAACCTGATGCTCTTCCCAGCCTCAGAGCCTTTGCATGTGCTGTTTCTTCTGCCAAAATTTCCCCACAACCACCACACTTCACCTAACTCCATTTATGTTTGGGCCCAACTGAATTCATTTGCTTGGCAAAGCTTTTCATTGCCTTTCAAAACTGATTTAGCCCAGCCTTTTTAAATCTCGATCATACTTTTTGCATCTCCTTCATAACATTTCTCCCAGTCTATAATTATGTAATTTTTTTTCAGTTCTGCGGATTGAAATCAAGGCCTCACACTTGCGAGGCCAGTGCTCTACCACTAGATACTTAAGCCATACTTGCCCTTCTTTTGCTGTTAGGGTTTTTTGTTGTTTTTCTTCAGATAAGGTCTTGTGCTAACTTTGCTTGAGCTGACCTCGAACCAAGGTTCTCCTACCCGTGCCTCCTCAATAGCTGGGATTACAGGTATGCACCACCATATAGTGTTTAGTGATTTTTTTTTTGCAATAATCTATTCCCACTGGGTATGAGTCTCTTTGAGGACAAAGACTGATAACTTCATATTCAATCTTATGTGTCTACCACTGAAGGTATCTCACCTTAGCCAATGCATACATATTGTTAATTAGTAAATAAATAAAGATCAATAGGATTAATTTCATA